GCCACTGCCAACGGTGCCTTGACCTCCGACACCTGCCGGCCGACGGCGGCCGGGCCGGGCCAAGACTCCTCAGTTGCCGGCGGCGGAGACCACGCTTCCCGACTGGGTTATGTAGGGGGCTTGAGTGTGACTACGTGGGCTATGCGCCTGCGGGCGTGGAGTGCGTGACGTACGTTTGCGTAGCTGCGTGTGTCTGTGCTATTGCGCGAGGGTGCGTGCGTGGGGCACGGACGTGGCTCTCTCCGGGATGGGCGCACGAGTGTAGCGCGTTGGGCGTGATGGGCGGGAGCGTGGGGTGTGCGCCTGCGCGTCCGCGGGTCCTGCGCTCGGGTACTGATCGCTGCTGATGAAAGTACGGTTGGGCCAACGGCTTCGTCAGATCACCTGGCGTTACCCAGGAAGGTGGACGATTAACACCGTCCCTGGAGCATGCTTCAGCCTGGAGAGACACTCGCACGTCTGCACAAGTAGGTCTAATAATGTTTATGGCATCACTATCTGTGGTCACTAATAGTGGGATCCTCCTGTGGAATCAAATACCAAGGAGCAGGGAAAATTACTGAAAACGGCGGACACAACAGTGGGGCTCAACCTCAGGCCGTAAGGTGATGGGGAAGCAAGTCACGAAAGGACACGTCGCAGCATAATCCCGTTATATACAGTTCCCAGCCAGGCTCATCTAATCAAGTCTCGGGGCAGTGCGCGGGCGGTAGGACCGGCAAAAGGCCTGAGGAAAACGATGCACGAACGTCACGTTAAGTGTTAAGAGGGTGGGACGGGGGAGGAGCCCACAGGTTCCTTCAGATGTCATGGAAATGCTCATCTTAAGAAGGTTGACGGGGACGCAGTTACCGAGCTGTTATTGTTAATATTTTATGCATAACTTACAAATGCTTTGTATCTACTCAATAGTTGAATAAAAACTAAAAATGGGCAATGATTCATCGTTGGGCTAGGAAGTTGTTGAGTGTGCAGAGGATGGCCTATCCTGCCACAAAGGCAGCAGAAGTTGCTAAATATCTAAAATAGGTCGAATCTAGGAGATGTTGTTGCGAGTCATTCATGAAGCATGAAGGGGAACGATGGTTGACACCCCTATCCCCCCCAAGATATATCTTTGAACAGAAGTATTAATAGCTCCCAGCTGACTTTCAGAGGAAGCTGCTTAACTTCTAGTAAGAAGTCATTAAACCAAAGACAAAACCGCCCTCAAGATCATACCCTGAATCTTAAAGTTGTTAAAAACAATTCAAATGATCGACGGAGGCTTTGACAAGCATGCCAATACAAGCAGTCAACAACAGCCAGTAGCCGAGGGTAGTTTTAAAGCATATTTACAGTTTGGTGAAAAGGGATTGAATTTAAACCTGGATTGTGACCAGGAAGAGCAACGTAGTGGGTCATTGTATCAGAAGAAATATATGACATCATCAGTTAGAAATACTGTGCTTCAAAGTTCAAGCAGAAAAACATTTTAACTCCAGTATTTTTGTACACAATGTAATTTTTTCTAAAAATCTATTATTAAATCAATGCCTTACACTCAATGAAATATTAGAATCAATAAATACTTGTTGGGATTTCCAGTCAGGATGGCAGAGTAGGTAAATTATGTGCTTGCTTCATCCCGTGACCACAGCTAAATTACAGAACAACAGTCATTGAGAACCACCAGAAGACTGGCTGAACAGAATTCCTATAAGCCTTGCTGTGAGCTTCTCACAACGCATCAATATTAGGTTAGATTTACCTTTTAATAGCAGTGTGTGTTGGCTCCCTCCTTCTCAGCAGCAATCTCACCTTCTTCCATATGTCAGTAATTTTAAACCGATCCTTTCCCTCTGCTGTGTACCATGAAAGCAACAAAAATTAATGGGAGCGGCTGTGTTCTAATAAAATTGTATTTACAAAAGCAGGTGGCGGTCCAGATTTGGCGGCAGGCCGTATTTTCCAGCGCCTGCTTTAGGCTGTGGGAAACTCAAGGAGATCCTGCTACATCTCAAGGTCAACTGGAAATTCATGGCTGCGTAGGAATGGACAAATCCTGTTAAAGGGTAAAACAAATATTGTAGCTTAAAGCTACAATTATGCTATAATCCTAGCCTCCTAATAACTGAGGATCTAACAGCCTCATCCCACTTAAAAGATCCTCTCTTCTCTTTCATCTTTTCTGTAATAATAACTTTTCAAACCTTATTATTTTCCTGAAGCCCCATTCTCTCCTTTTTCAGCTGTCTGTGTTGGGAAGAGCTGCTGTAAAGTGGTACTTAGAAGTGGGGACTCTGTTGGAATGTAAAACGGTGCAGACGCTATGAAAACGGTATGACGGTTCCTCGAAAAGTTAAAAATAGAACTACCCTATGATCCAGCAATCCCACTTCTGAGTATATACCCAAAAGAATAGATATCAGGACCTTGAAGAGATACCTGCACTCCTATGTTCACTGCACTACTATTAATAATAGCCAAGATGTGGAAACAATCTAAATGGCCGTTGACAGATGAGTGGACGCAGAAAAAGTGTAAACATGTAGTGGAATGCTACTCAGCCTTAAAAAAATAGGGAAATATGGGACAACATGGATGGACCTTAAGGATATTATGCTAAGTGAAATAAAGCAGACACAGGAAGGACAAATACAGCATGGTTCCACTTACATGAGGTATCTAAGATAGCCGAGTTCATAAAATCGAAAATTGCAATGGTAATTACCAGGGGGAAATGGGGAGTTATTAATCAGCAGGCACAACTCAGTTAAGCAAGATGAGTAAGCTCCGGAGATCTCCTGCACAGCACGGAACCTAGCCAACAATGTGTATTGTACACTTACAATTTTGTTAAGGGGATAAATTTCATGTTGTGTTCTTACACAATAAAAAGTAAAATAAATAAATAAGAGTGGGGGCCCTGGAACTAGACTGCCTGGGTTTGAACCCTGGCTCCCCAATTCACCTCTGTGACCCGAGGCGGGATACTCACATCTCTGTGCACCCGCTTTCTTTTCGTGCCTGAGGATAGTGTTAATATTCACCTGCAGGGTCCTTGAAAGGATTAAATGTGTTGTTCCAAGGGAAATACCTAGCACAGTGCCTAGCATGTATTAAGGACTAATTAATGCTACTTCTTATTCTTGCTGGACTAGGTTTGTTAGATGTATTAAAGAGGTAATATGTTTTAAATGCTCGCTTAGCACAGTACCTAGTCCGTAAGGGCTAAATACACGTAAGGTACTGTAATTATTCTACAGGGTGGCTATGCCTGCGTGAAGTGCCTTGTCACTTCCATTGTATCTTACACTCAACTATATCTTGAGCTACTTAACTTTTCACATTTTTATACCTTCCCATTTCTCCTGGGTTATAAATAAGCTAAAGGCCAATTCCAGGACCTGTGCCTTTTTGCAGTTCCTTCAACACCATTCTTTCTATGTTAGTCTGGGCTTGACATACATTTACAGCATAGAATTAATATGCTTTTAAAGGAGGAACATTCAGCAGACCACCTAGTCCAGGCCCCCACTGATTGGTTCATCCAAACATAAAAAAAAACAGGGCTTTCAGAATTAGGCCCTGTTGTTAACAAAGTGGTAAGAGAAAGATTCCAGTTCAAGTAGTGATCATGTCCATCCACCCC